CAGACCCAAATTAAAGTTACTGACTGTAACAAATACATTAGATCATGCATGGCAAAACATCCATTTTTAAATATTAGTGTGAGCATGATTGACATTTCAATGTTCTCACTGAGAAGTTTATCAGTCTGTTCCTCACATAAAGATATCATACATTGCAAAATAAATAAATAAATTAACAAACAAATAAATAAATGGATGAAAGAATGAAATAAAAAAATAGATACATTTAAAAATACAAAAAAGTAAAAAAATAAACAAAAAAAATGTGTTTTGTCTTGTTTTTCATTTAAATGTAGTGAGGTTTATGAACAAGAAACACTGCTTTTCATGTACATTTAACTCATTTTAAGGACGTTTAAACATTTTAACTAGAAAACGGGACAGAATTGAAAAGATTGTTTAAAAATGATTGTGTTCACAAGACATTAACTGATGGACTGGAGTGGTGTGGATTACTTGTGGATTATTGTGAAGTTTTTGTGATCAGCTGTTTGGACTTTCATTCTCACGGCACCCATTCACTGCAAATGATCGATTGGTTGGCCTGAGGGTGAGAAAATGTTCAGCAAATTTTCATTTTTGGGTGACCTATTCCTTTACCAGTGTGTGTGTTCACTAATGCTGATGAACTCTGAGAACTGATTTAGAAAACTTATCAAAGCTTAAGTTTAATAATGGTGAGATCAAGGGGTCGTACTGCCCATGAAGGGATCTGCATTCTTTTTTTGGTATCTCATTACAGAGTCACTATCTAGCAATTTTAGTAGCGTTCCGTCTGCATGCATTGTGCAGAAATGGCATCGGCTGACTTTGAAAGCATTATAGACCTCAAACTATGATGCATCAAATGAATTCCAATGGTGTTCAAAGGCATGTACAATTATTCTCTTTAAAGTTTAGTGTGCAGAAATCTGGCAGGCGTGGGAGCGAGTGATGGTCTTCGAACACGCCCCACGATACCGGACCATACGGGTAATTTACTCCAGAAAGCCGAGACCTTCAAAGGATAATTCTCCTTAATTTATGGGGGAACCCGCTCGCTGGTCTGGGTGGAAGCCTTCTGCAATTTCACGACGCTGGGAAATCCAGCAAAGAGATTTTAATGCAACCGCAGAGGAACTAATTATTAAAGGAATTTTAAAAGCGAAAAGCTCTCCCATCTCACGCCGTCGCGTTAATCAGTTATGATGAAAGAGCCGAAAACCAAAGTGCTCTTTCTCTGACAGATGAGGGATCATTTGATTGCTCTGTAAATCAGAGTTCTCAGGTTCTTCTGCATCAGTTCTCAAACACACACACACACACACACACAAATAAATGGACAAGCTGGGTCTGTTCCAAAACCTAGTGAGCTCCCTAACTAGACAGCATTGTAAGACATCATAGAGGTGCTTCAAAAGGAACTCAAAGCCTTCTAAGAGACCTTTATTTGGCCAAACTGTAATGCAGCATCAGATGTACCCTGCAAAACGTTATTTTCTTCCTCAGTATTGTTTTTCTTATTTTCTAGTATGAATATCTAAATATTATTGAATCGTGATCAGTGGTATTTTAGCATTTTTTTATATTTAATACAGTATTTATTGAATTAGAATTTATTTTTATATTTAAAAAAACATTTTGTTGATGTAATTTTATTAGTTTTTAAATAATTGTAATTAGCTTTTTGTTGTTGTTTTTTTTTTAGTTAGTTGCCAATTCTTTACGTTTTTACCTTATTTCAATTTATTTCTCATAAAAATAATTGTATTTTTATATTACCCTTTTATTTTAAATATCTTAAATATTTAATTGTGGCAAAACAAGACAAAATACTAAGGAAGAAAATTTAGTTTTTGCAATGCATCAACTGTGTGCAATCCCAGAATGCATTGCAACAAAACATCTATCCAAAATTGTGTAAGAAAATAATATTATAATGTAATATAACTGAATTCATAAATAAATTAATAAATGAAAAAAGGTCAGTCTGATTAAAAATGGATTATTAACACTTTTCAAAATGTTGTATCAAGTTATAAGTAGTTCAACTTTGAAAAATGGTGCTCTCTCTAGCAGTTGTCAATGAAAGAACAGTCTCTTTGTAAGCAGTAGACAGTAGGTGGCTCACTATGTTTTGGAACGGAGCCACTGACGGGGCTTCTTGGCTCTGTGATGGGGTCATTTTTCTCACTGTTGATGAAGAAACAAGGAAGGAAATTTGCAGGGAAGCAGGAATTAAAGAAAAGCGTACAGGCACAGTCTTAATTAAGTAAATGAAGAGAGTCTCAAACAAAGCGTCTTAATTAATGAAAGCTTTTAGCTAGCAGCTGCACCGGGGAACTGTTTACTACTGCTTCTTTTTTCTTTCTTATTTCGTTTTAATGTGTTTTGCTGACGTCCTTGTCGCTGAGAAATTGCATGCATGCCGGAGTGCCAAACAAGAGTCTTTTTTTTCTCTTTCTGATAGAAAGAGGTGGTTGAAAATAAACCATCCTCTGTCGTCTCCTTCCTTTAGTCGAGTCTGTCCCACGGCACACTGCTGCATGCGTTACATGCTCGTTAATTTAGGGGAAATAGAGAGCAAACGACGCAGTGGAGAAGAGACGAGCTCTCCTCACTCTGACGGCCCATTAGTGCCTTCATCTTTGATGTTAGCTGCAAACGCTAGCTAAAAACAGACATTAACCAACTGACTTCCTCTCGTCAGGGAGCGTGTCATGGAAACACGACTCACAGAAACACACCTGGCACATATGTGGTGGACAAAAAAGGTGGGAAACAGTTCTTAATACACTTCTGACAAAGTGCACAATACATTTGTGTGCTGTTTCTGCCTCTTCTGGGTTTATAACAGTGGTTTATCTTACCATGGTCCCCACGCTGTAGGTGGCTGCCGGGGCGATGGGTTAGCTGCAAACGCTAGCTAAAAACAGACATTAACCAACTGACTTCCTCTCGTCAGGGAGCGTGTCATGGAAACACGACTCACAGAAACACACCTGGCACATATGTGGTGGACAAAAAAGGTGGGAAACAGTTCTTAATACACTTCTGACAAAGTGCACAATACATTTGTGTGCTGTTTCTGCCTCTTCTGGGTTTATAACAGTGGTTTATCTTACCATGGTCCCCACGCTGTAGGTGGCTGCCGGGGCGATGGTGTGGTGATATGGGTCAGTAGTTGCATAGACTCTCCCATAACTGCAGAAACATCAATCAAGAGATGCTTTAACACGTGTAAACGCTCATTCACAACATAAAACAGCATTTACAACCTATTTTACTTCTGTAATGTGACTCAAATATCTAATGTGAGGCAAATATCGAAATTAAAATACACTATACGCACCAAAACTATTCTCACCAGCTTCGAAACTTCACCAAAATTTCAGACTCGGTGTGAATACTATACTAAAACAAAATAAATACTAATTAAAGTAAATAGAAATACCAAATTATCATGACCCGCATTACAAATGCAATGCACCGGGTGCGCTACCGAGCAAGCTTACTATGTCAGAAAAGCCATTGATATGGGGCTTGTTATGTGCAAACATTTGATGCAAACATCAAAATGTCAGTTTTTTTTAAACCAGGTGCTATTTTAACCCTTAAATGCATACCTCGGGTCTTTAGCGTCCCGGGACATCATTCTCTACCCTCTCCCTCCTTCATTTTTTAAAGCTAGACATCAGCTTTCTTAGTATTCCTCAATCTATTCATTATAAACAATATAAGAAGAAAAAAATAGTAAAATATAAAATTTAAAATATTAATTTTTTGTAAAAAGTGTATAGGGTCGCTAGAGACCCGAGGTATGTAAATGTGTAAGTATTTTTTTCTGCGCAACTATATTTAAATATCTGATGACTCAGTACGTGCAATGCATCTTTTTTCCTCAAGGTGGCACTGTTTGATACACAATGATGACGTGACGTTTCACTGATAATTACAGCAGGCATAAAACAAACGAATATCATCAGCAAAAATTGAACTGGTTTGAATGGCTTTACAGCAGAGCAATTACTGTATGCAATGAAATATAAATGTCACTTTCATTTGATGCTGGATGTGGCGAATAAGCTGCCAGTGATCAAAATATTGAATATGAAGTCATTGAAAACAATCGCTTTGAGAATATGGTTGAGATCGTGAATATGAGGCAGATGCTGAATGTACTGTGGAAGTGTGCTCTGACGATGACAGCGATGGTAAAATCATCTGCTCAAATTGAACCCTTTTAAGTTTCAAAAGGTAACAACATATGCTTTCTTTTTTTTCTTCGGTAATTGTTCTTAAAATATCATGAGAGTTTGTTGCTATTGCAGCAGTTAGAGATCCATCTGTGCTGGATATATAGGTCCGGGGTCGCTAAAGACCCGAATATGTAATAATGATTGGTGAAACCTTCATGCATTTAAGGGTTTAAAGTGTTTTGAGATCAAAACTTAGTATTGTGCATGAAAATAAGTCTTTATTAATCAATAATCTTCCCCTATAATCAAAATTGGTGTATAAAAGAATAAAGGTTGCTGGTTCTTTACTGCCACTATTTCAGCTGGAAACTGCAGTGAATTGTATGTATAGGTACATTTTTGGACTTATGTTTTTGTCCAGTGAGTAAGGATGGAATTTTGGGGCTTTCTACAGAAAGAAACTACATCAAAACTTTCAGACTTCAGATGTGAACGGGTTCATAGGGAGTCACATTTTGTTTGCTTTTAGCATTTTCTTTTAAATCTGCCGAAGAAAAACTTTCTGTGAAACGGCCCTCATAACGTGTTTTTATTTTTCTAAGAAACAATTTCAGGTATTCGACAAGAAAAGAGAAGAAGACTGAAGAAAAATTAAGCATGAGCGCAACAGAATGACTGAAAAGAGATAATGGGCGAGGGAAAGAAAGGTGAAAGAGGCAAACGAGGTGCCGCAGGCTTCGTGTCGCTGGTTTGGAACTAATCCTCCACAGGAAGGACAACACGTGTCATTTCCTTTCATTTATATATTGCACATATTCCACTCTCTTCTGCTTCTTCTCCACATACAGCTTGCAAATGAAGGTCTGCAGAGAGCAGATAAGAAAACACAAGCCCTCGGCTGCGGGCCACAACTCCAGCAAACGAACAGAGGGTGAGAGAGAAAAGGCCAGCTTTACCGTAAGAGATATATACGCTTTAATGTCTGTGTGTGTGAAACTGGACGTTAATTGTGCTGACTCAGTCTGGATTGGCAAGAAACCTGCTTTGAAAGCATAACACTGACTTCAGCACAGCGCAAAACACCATTTCATTAATCTGTGTAATCAGTATTATTGTTTTGTGTTCCAGTAAAAATAGCTAAACATCCTTTAGAACATCATAAATTTCCTTGCGAAGCAAAACTACGTATTGTGACTTGGTTTCAGTGACGGGTCTTGAATTAAGTTTATTTCTCTTCCTCATTAGCAAATTGCTGCCTCACTCAAACTCCCTATACAGACTCTGGCTGTGTTTTATTTTCTCCTCATGTGAAATAAATTAGATGGAAAGTTGTAGAGAAATAAGCTTAAGCACTAAAATGACTAAAACTGAAATAAATGTAAATTAAAGCTAAAGAAATATTTAAAAAGCAACAAAACAATAGAAATGACAAAAACACATAAAAACTGAAAAAAGCTAATTACATTAATAAACACTAACACATTCTCATTAATAAATTCTCAAAATATTAATATAGTAGTCAACATTTGAAATGGATCAAACAAGTTCATCAAAGTTGTCCTAAGACAAGAACACATTTTGGTTTTAGGACAACTTTGATTAACTTTGTTTTGTTGACTAGTGCAGTGGTTCCCAACCCTGGTCCTGGAGGCACCCCAACACTGCACATTTTGCATGTCTGCTTTCTCTGACACACCAATTTCAGGTCTTGGAGTCTCTACTAATGAGCTGATGACCTGAATCAGGTGTGTTTGATTAAGGAGACATGCAAAACATGCAGTGTTGGGGTACCTCAAGGACCAGGGTTGGGAACCACTGGACTAGTGTACATAACTACATTAACATAATACTGTTTTCAGGTCAGTTTAAATAGAAAAACAAAAATATTGAAATTATAAAATGTACCACTGCTATGGAGAATGAGCAGTGACATTAAAAAAGAAAAGAAAAAAAGATTCATTTAATAATTAAAAACAATATATTACATTTAACCGTTTAATGCTGTTAATTATATTTAAAAAAGTAATCCATTAAAAAGCAATACATTTTTGTAATAAATGGTTATACACTAAAAATCAATAAAACGAAAATGGAAATAAATACAAACTGATGCTAAACAGAAAACAACAACAACTGAAATCGTAAAGAGATCTTGTTTATCTGAACAACTTAAAATGCATGCCAAAATAAATGTTTTTGTTGTTATGCAACACTGCATGTGTGAATGAACTCGTACCTGTCGCTGTACGCTGTAGCCGTTGCAGGCTGAGTATATCTGTACGCTGCATATCCACCCTGAAAACACAAAAAGATCAACACAAAACAAACAACAAAACTATCATTTATCTATCACACCCCAACTGATTTACAACACATACCTACTATGAAATACTGCATCATTTGATGTACACATTTCTAAGGCCTCTAAATGAGCAACATGATCAAAATGTTGCCATTAAACCCATTGCACACAATCCACTCCATGTCTTCTGTCGTCTGATTGATAGTTTAGACTTTTTTAGCAAGTAAAATGCCTTTTAGCATAATTATACAAATGTACGTCTTCAGCTGGTGCTTCACGTGTCTCTTTAGAGGAACATTTATTATCTCTCAATTATCATTGTATTGTATTGCATTATATGTTTCGAAACTACAGAGCTTTGATCATAAAGCCTTTAAATATAATCTTACTAAGACATATTATTGGAGATATAGATTGGCGACTGATGTTTATAAAGATCTCATTGACTTACAAGCTATCAGAATTCCATCTCACTTTTTGTCCATTTAAATATCAGCATCAGCACTAAATTGCATATTTTTGTTCAGTTTACATCTCTGAATAAAACTGAGTTGCTTTTTCCTCCATATTCTCATCATCTCATACTATAATACTCAACAATAAACACATTTGCACACTTTTTTCCGTTAATGTTTTGTGTAAAGGTTTCATAAACTGTTCCATTTAAAATTTTTTTTTTTATTTTCTATTATTTCATACTTCAGACAGGTTAATTCTGCAGCCTAGTATCTGTATAGCATCCTCAGAAGTGTGCGTATGATGCCTTCAGATGTCATCTTTATAGGGTTTGAAACACATCTCTCTTGGTTCTTGTTGGTTTCTCCAGAAAACGGTAGATTTGTCGCTTGTATCATAATCAGCTCGACTCTGAGGTGGAGTCGTGCTCATTTGTCTGTAGGCAGATCGTTAATAACACACATTAATCAGAGCGTCAGAACGAGAACAGCCGCTGTTTTACATTCTCCGGCCTGACAAACACAGAACGCCCGTGAGCGACCACTGGGGGGCCACTGGGGCCACTGGGGGGGCGCTGCAACACGCGATAACGCTGCTGATTTCAGTTTGAGATGCTGAGTGTGGAAGGCTTACATTGATAATGTGTGCCGCATTTAAATCGGGCACGGAAAGTATATTGAGTAGCGAATTTGAGACACAGAAATGCTTGTGCGTTACTGAAACGAGCACACGGAGACTCTCCAACGCTACGGGAAGAGCTGGGTTTCCCATCACTCGGAAAACAATCGGAATCGGAAGAAGTTTGGGAGTGAAAGTGAAATGAAATCAGGTTAGAGGTTGAGCGGGGGATCGCGAGGTCATGTGACCCCTCCCCTGGGGACAGGAAGTGAGGAGGAGCAGGCGTGGTGAACTTCCTGCGGGACCGCTCTGATTGGGGCCCCCGCCTGCGAACACACGGGGTAATAAATCAGACTGTCAGCACCTCCGGCCCAATACACAGAACATGCCTTTATCAGGACACCGAGAGCCCCGTCGCTAAATATAACAGACCACACCGCTGAAGACGAGAGAACAGACAATGAGAGGAGAGAGAGAGAGAGAACATGATGGGGGAAGAATGAGAAGAGAAGAGAAATGAAGGAAAGAAAGGAGAGAGAGAGAGAGAACATGATGGGGGAAGAATGAGAAGAGAAGAGAAATGAAGGAAAGAAAAAAAGACAAAATATAGAAAATAAAAGATACAAGTAATATAAGTGAAACTTAAAGAGAAACAAAACAGAAAAAAGTGAAAAGAAAAGAGAGAAAAGCAAAGGAGAAAATGAAAGAGGAGAGAAGATGATGAAAATAAAAAAAAGATAGAAAAGGAACAAAAAAGAATAACGAGAAAAGGAAAGAGGAGAGAAGATGAGAAGTGAAAAAAGAAAAGGGAGAAATCAGACAAGAAAAGAGAAAAAAGAAAAGAAAAGAAAACAAGTGAAATGCAAAATAAATAAAAAGGAAGCAATGCAGAAAGAATAAGGAGGTACAATGAAAAGGAAAAATAAATGAAAATGGAAAAGAAAAGAAAAGTGAAAAATGAATGGGAAAAAATGAAAAGGCGGGAGTACATCAAATTAAAGAGAAAAGTAATGTAACCATTTCTAAGACACATACCAGTATATTCCACACAGACTCTCATTTGAATAAAATCAATTCACAAAAAAAAAAAAAAACGAAAAATGCAGCATTTCAAACTGAAAACCATTTTTAAAAAAGGTAAGGAGATGAACTGAGAGCAGAGAATGAGAGCGAAAGAGAGATGAGTGTGAATGTGTTTGTTCTCCTGCGGGTCACTGCGGGTCAGTGTGTCACTATCAGGGTGACACAGATGTGAGACATCTTACAGATATGTATGTGTGTGTGTGTGTGTGTGTGTGTGTGTGTGTGTGTGTGTG